AGGCATAATCGTATTATGATACGAGATTTAAGTTATGCATTTTGGAAAATATGAAAATTATGCGCGAATTTTAAATGTATATTATATGCTAGTAAAAAGAGGTGTTCAGTCCTGATCAAAAAGTATTATAACCTAGGATACCTGTTTTGAACCGTTTCGGAGTACAAAGCAAAAAAAACAGAATAATGCGATATAAGCAAATTTAAGTAGCAAGCCATGGTGATATAGTTTGACAGTTCTATTAGATAGCATTTACGTCAACAACATGCAGTAAATTCAATGAGTTTGTTAATGTTTTTTTTCCATTATACCTATCTACTCGAAAACATGCCTATATTAGGTTTGCGATATTATTTTTATTGCATTAGCAATTGGTAAATATTTTAAAATAAAATGGCTACATTTGCTTATATTGATTTATTCTCATGATGTTTAACTCTTTTTAGTGCCAGAATAAAGTTGTACATAATTTTCTAAATAGCCCGTATGCGGTATCTTAAATCTCATATCATAATACAACAGTCTATTGTAAGTAGTAACCAAAATTTCATATTTTTAAATGTATGTTTTGGTTAGTTCAAGGTTAGTCTATACCTAAATTATTGTTTTTGTTTTTTACTTACACATATAGGTAAGGTAAAATAGGGAAAACATTTTTGTACTAGTTTTTGTCAAAAAATATATTTGCAAAAATGGAGCCATAGCGAAATAAAATAAACCTTTGTATAAAAAAATCCAATTTCGAATATCTTTTATAGTTTTCCAGATCCTTCGACATTAGTCCAAATTTTTGTTAACCCGTTTAGAGGGTCCAACAGTTCAAATCCAAAATTTCCTATGACAGTTTGCTTTGGTGACTTGCCTTTTTCTCGAAGAAAAAAAATAGAAAAGGAAAACAGGTTCCCAACGACTACGGCAAGTCTATTTTAATCCCGAAAACGCTTCGAGTTTGAAATTCCGCAAAACCCAAGCGAAAACACAAAAAGAAACACATAAATTCTTACCAATTTCCATTTCACACAAAACCGCGACACCAATATATAAATATTAAATAATAATTCGGAATTTGTTATGTTGTGTCTGCGACTGGTCAGTCCGTACGAGCAGGATAACCGTTCGGAACCGCGTTCCGATTCAGCCAGTGTACTGGAGTAAAATAAACCACAGGCTCGTGCGTAGAAAACCCAAGAGATTCCCCGATATATACGGTTTGACTGGTTTTTCGAGTCATTAATAAATTTTGACTAACGATTCTTAATTGGTATCAGTTTCCTCAGGCCCTAGGACTGCCTATTAATTCCATATTTCCAAATAAGCAATCGACCTTTTCAATTAACGGTGGCATATTTTTCGGCAATATCGTGACCTTGATTAACGCCACGTTTGGGATTTTTAACCGGAAATATTATTTTCGCGACAACTAAGGCGACGTTTATGTTTTTATCAACCGCAATTTGACTTAGTAAATCAATAATTACTATCACAACATTGGTTTTCAAATATTTTGTAAATGATTTTGTTTAGTTCCATCCATACTGCGAAATTTTTATAAAATCGCAGCTCTAGTTGAGATGCTTAAGGTTGTTGTTTTATACTGTATTTATAACAGTTATTATCAGCTACACAAAATTGGAAACATTAAAAAAAACTTAAGTTCAAGTTCAGACCTAGATCAGTGTGATATTGTTCAATTTGCAAAAACTGTATTTTAGTTTTTTGAACTAACTAAAACTAAATTACCAATAAAAAACTACAAATAAGTTTCTTAAATTGTTATTATCTTAATTTAAGCTTAAGCTTAATGCCTTAATAATGTAGAGATTAAAATTTTGTAACTCTGATCTGTTTGTATCCTACAAAGTGTAATAAATAAATTAATAAATAAATAGACTAATGTATAAAAAATAATAACTATCCAAAACCAAAACTAAATGACTAATAAAAAAATTAACTAAAAATAAGTTTCTTAAATTGTGATTATTTTAATTTAAGCTTAAGCTTAATACCATAATAATATAGAGATTAAAATTTTGTAACTCTGATCTGTTTGTATCCTAAAAAGTGTAATAAATAAATAGACCAATGTATAAAAAATAATAACTAACCAAAACCAAAACTAAATGACCAATAAAAAATTAACTAAAAATAAGTTTCTTAAATTGTGATTATCTTAATTTAAGATTAAGTTTAATTCCTTAATAATATAGAGATTATAATTTTGTAACTCTGATCTGTTTGTATCCTACAAAGGGTAATAAATAAATTAATAAATAAATGGACTAAAGTATAAAAAATACTAACTAACCAAAACTAAAACTAAATAACCAATAAAAAAATTAACTAAAAATAAGTTTCTTAAATTGTGATTATTTTAATTTAAGCTTAAGCTTAATACCATAATAATATAAAGATTAAAATTTTGTAACTCTGATCTGTTTGTATCCTACAAAGTGTAATAAATAAATTAATAAATAAATAGACTAATGTATAAAAAATAATAACTAACCAAAACCAAAACTAAATGACCAATAAAAAAATTAACTAAAAATAAGTTTCTTAAATTGTGATTATTTTAATTTAAGCTTAAGCTTAATACCATAATAATATAGAGATTAAAACTTTGTAACTCTGATCTGTTTGTATCCTAAAAAGTGTAATAAATAAATTAATAAATAAATAGACTAACGTATAAAAAATAATAACTAACCAAAACCAAAACTAAATGACCAATAAAAAAATTAACTAAAAATAGGTTTCTTAAATTGTGATTATTTTAATTTAAGCTTAAGCTAAATACCATAATAATATAGAGATTAAAATTTTGTAACTCTGATCTGTTTGTATCCTACAAACTGTAATAAATAAATGGACTAAAGTATACTAACTAACCAAAAATAAAACTAAATGACCAATTAAAAATTGAACTAAAAATAAGTTTTTTAAATTGTAAATAGACTAAAATATAAAAAATAAATCGAAAAACTCGATAAAATATAAATTAACGCATAATGAAAGGCAATAAGGTAAAAATATAAAATATAATCCATCACATTGGAACTATTTCAAATTGTTAAAATGAGCTATCTTCTTTTTAATGGGGCCAATTAAAAAGTTGGTAGCGCTGACAATGCTCGGACGCTTATTTGTTATTCAATGCCCTCGAACATATTTCGCATTATCTTAATATGTGCTGTTTTTTAATAAGTTTGTTTATGTTTGGCAACGAATTTTAAGCATATCGCACTCATCATCAGTGTTACCAGTTTGTATTTCATTTTCTGAAGGATGTTTTTTTTATAAATGTTGCTATTTCCAGTTCAGTTTTCTTTGGAAAAATTGTTCGGTATATTTATTTTAGATTAATTTAGATATTATTCGAAAATTAACAGCATGAAATTGATATTGTGCTTTTAAGCAGCAATTGATATTGTGCTTTTAAGCAGCCAATAGCCATTTTGAGGCTCACTTAATTAAATTGAAAATCTCTGAATCATTTAAAGAAAGCTCCATCTAGCAAGTTAAGTGAGTTATAAAAATTGTCTTTGTAATAACAACAAAACTGTTCATTAAGAATTGGGATTTTTTTTTAATTGAGTCTGGTCTTTTGTCTTGGTAGTGTCTGTAGTTATGTTTATGTTACCTTGAAAGATCGAACAATTATTGGTTAGTTGTATGTATGTATGCATGTGTATGGCGACAAACACATATAAGCTTCGGTCGATATCGGAAACGACAGGCTCTAACAGGTTTTTGTGTGGTGTAGTGTGCTGTAATTAGTTACCAATTTCTTCAAAAGTTAACTACCCTAATAAGGAGTAAACAAGAAGACAATTGTTTATATTTTTCTCAAGAAAGATACTCTAAAATCGTTTCTGAACAAATTTATGCTAAAAATAACCGCAGTACTCAAGTCAAGTCGATTCGACAGACTCGCAGTCTCACAGCGATGGCGATTACCAATTTATAGTGGTTTGCAAAGATCACTTGATCAAGTTTGTCCAATTACAACCCTTAAAAACAGAAGAGCTGAAGAAGTAAGCATGTCCTGCTATATTGCATTCAGGTAATGGCAGAGGGTTCAGCAACCAAGTCATATCTGAGCTATGCGCCTTGTGGACATTGACCATGTTGCAGATATAAGTGACACAGATGACCAAAATGTCCGCACTAATCCGCACCAACCAACCAAGCCAGCACGTCTTCAACGCAAACACTAATAAATATAGCTATAAAAACAAGAGGCATTTGTGTTATTTAAAGTGTCATGGTAGCTTAAGTTGTTGCGATAAGTAAGGTTACCGAACATTGCTTTTTTAACTTGCTTTTTAAATTTTAGTTTAAGAAATAAAATCCATTTTATTTTTTTTTTTTTTTTTACGTTCATTTGAAAACTTCTTCTATGTTTTAATAAAATAACTAACGATCTAGAGAGTTTTATTTTGACATTCGCCGGTGACAGTTTCAAATAATGATATTTGATGGATATATCGGACATACGCCAAGTAACTTGTTGACATTCATTGGTATATCCTGACAATCACCAGTTTTCGGAATTTCACCGTAACATCTTAATTGATTCTTATAATGTGTATTACTATTCACGAATCCAGAACGTCGAACAGGGTGTACTTACGCTTGGAATAAGACTAGTTACTTTTCTTATCAAATGCTCTGTGTTGAAGTAAAAGTTTAAAAATTACATTGACTTTATGTACAAAAAATTATAATACAATACTTGAAATTTATATTAATATATATACATACAATCAAGCTAGTTTTAACTATCTACTGAGTTTGTATTTACCGGGAAGTGAAGTTTGATTGCCAAAAAATAATATCTAAATTACGTTGTTGCAAATTTTAAATTTACATATGTATGTGCCTTTGCATTTTAAAACCCTGTATATCACTATCTCTCAGAAAAACGGACCGGAATCCCATTATCAAATTAGTTACAAGTCGATTTTTATTTGTTAAACATCTGGCACATAAAATTAATAATACAAATTGTTGTTAAGCGCATTTACGATCCTGTTTGACAGCGGAATCCTGATTACTCTCAAGTTAACTTCGTTCGGCGACACGGTCCTCTTGAAATACTTTTGGAACCGGGTCGAAAGCAGCCATATCCCGTCCTCTTTCCATCTCAGCTCCGAGCAAAACTGGAGCAGCTCGGGATCGTAAGCCAGAAGACTAGAAACCCACTCAATAAATAAATAAAGTCCAATATATACAGAGTGGTTTATTACTAATTGGGAATATTTAGCTACTCCTAAAATATTTATTTTTCCAGATATTAACATCAACCATCAAACTGAATAAATCATTATAATTTCAATTCATTACTTTGGAGTTTTTGCGCACAAATTGATTTATTGCAATTTCTAATAAATAGTTTAGTTCGACATTAAAATAATATATGGCTCTGAAATGAACGATTTTGTTGCAATGTAATTAACAATGCAATACACGGTAAACAACACAAGTTTTTACAGTTAAAATATCTCCTAAAATTTTAATCCCAATTAAAACTTCAGACAGTGTACATAAGTACAACTGTTCTTAGATAATTTCTAAAAGGTTTACTTCAAAATTTAATAAATCAAATACCAAAACAACAAAACAAAAAGAACCTAACTAAACCTAATTAAACAGGAAACTTGGAGGAAAGATTCGACGTGGTAAAATAATGGTAGTCAGTCATGTAACCAAAATTCGAAATCGTAATATCTTCTGAGTTATAGCTTGTCAAAATTCATTTTTTTAAATTTTATTTTTAACGCAAGGGGGGCTTAATTCCCAGCTGGTATTTTACAAACAGTCCTGATTTAGAAGAAATCGTCTTTACAAAATAAAAATGTTTCAGAAATCTGTCACTAGAGGGCACTTTATCTAGAACATTGTTTTTTATTTTCCCTGTATTTAATTTATTTAGACTGATATTGCAAAATAGAACAGATTTCCGTAAGCAGAATCAGCAGTTATCGTTTAGCCACAAACAATACACTTACACTTCTAATTTAAAGAAAAGTGATATTGGATATCGCGATAAATACATAAAATACAGGCAAAATTAAAAAAAAAATGTTTCTTCCAAGTTTCCGAACTCAATTTCAGAACACCGTGTATATAGAAACATAGAAAAATATCAATTTGGAATCAAGGCAAAACACCAACAGTATGCTTTTGGGACTCAAGCAGTGGTCGACGTTCTTTTTCATTTGAGTGATTGTGGAAATAAATTTAGATGTCTTAAAAATCCTGGATTTGGCAATATTTTTATACAACTTAATATTCGAGGACATGCAACTTTAATAGATAAATTAATAATAATCTTCTGGAATGAAAGTGATTTAGGTTTAGTATAAATAAAAAAATAGCAGCACATAAAGCATAAACTTTTTGGATGTTACATTGTTACAAGTTTTAATCACCTTATATACCTTAACGTAAGCAACAAAGCATGCAAACTTGGAGTATTGGAAACGATGCTTTACATCCTATACGATGAGTGAAAGCAAGAATGTAATAGAGATTTAACCAGCTATTTGGTTGTAGGAGTGATTTATAGTATTGTAGCATTTGTCTAAAACTTCCTAAATAAACTTTACCTCTGTCGATTAGTAATAGGGTTCCACGACGCTATAGATGTTTCTGTGACGGGACTAAAGTAGAGCGAATCGTCCTGTAAATTCATTGCCAGACCTAGACCTTGCGAAGATTTCCTTCCGGCCAACGCTACGGGGATATCTTCGAATTCTGCTGGAGGTCCCTTGGTCAACGTAGCAGTGGGTATACTAAAGATTCTAAGAAGAGGAATTCGCAGTTGATTTAAATTGAGTCGATTAAATGCGGGATCAATCTCACCTATCAGTTGCCAAAGGTTGAAAGAATACGGTTGCCAATTTTGGTGAATGGGCCAATCCAACGACTCCATCTGGCAAAGTGAACGTTTCTCCCCCTATGCTATACGTGGCAAAATCGGGATCCGGGAACATGCTGGGGTGGCTCACCCTCCAAGCAGTGTCGCGGATCGCATCGTAGACAAGAATTGCTAAAAATTAATATTTTCTTCAAAAGTGGTAAACGAAATAACTTTTGGGAACGTTAAATAGCGCTTTTAAAAAGATAATATTCACAACATCTGCGTTTCAGATACAAATTTTCGTTTCAACTTCAACTAAAATTAAGAGCATTATATTGGACCTCGAACTTCCATTATCTTTATGTTTTAAGTTTCATCACTGATACGGTATAACGGTCCTTAAGTTATTGGTTTTTAAAATAAAAACATTAAAAAACTATCCAGGAAATGGAGCAATTTTGAATTTACCATCCTGTTACTATACATGTGTCAAAAGTTTTTGATCTTAACGCCATTTTAATGCCATCTTGAAACGAAACCTGAATTTTATGAAGCAAATATCGTTCGCTATAATTACCATAACTAATCAATACTGCGTATACCAGCAAATACTCAAAAAGTGCTCTAAGACGATTTTGACATATACGAAAATAACTTTTTTGAAAAATAATAGCTAACTCAGAATGTTGTGCTGCTTTTTATCGAAATACAATTTCAAACGGTAAATTAACTATCTCCATTGAGTTAAACAAAACAATAATACAGACCCATGTTCAAGATCAAGTTCAAATGGTTGTTGAACTTCTAATAATAAAATAACTACCGTTATTCTGATGCAATCTTGCGGGTCTTCGCAAATTAAATAATTGAAAATTACGCCATTAAAATTAACAAGTTCTTAAGAAAAGGCATCCATTTTGCGTATGTTTTTGATACGTTAGACTATGTGTGATAGAACCAATAAAGTAGAATTTTTATGATATGCATAAATATGCTCAGATTTAGAGGAATTTTACTATACTTAAATACTAAAAAGAAATAACAAATCATAAATAATATAAAAAATAATTAGGTTCACCAGTACTTTTCTTTCTTTCGTTTCTGGATTCCTCCTGCATCCGTTTTTGATAAATAGTCTACTAAATAAGTTTCAGTTAAGTTAAAACTGTTCCAGTAAAGCTCTGAAGAAGCCAACTGAAACTGTTACAGTTAAGCTGGTTGATTGGGAAGCGTCAGCAATTTTGATTAATAAGCACCCGATGCAGGAGGAATCCAGAAGGTTTGTAGGTAGTTTTTTAACCCTTTTACTTTACAATGTATTATTGCAATCTTACCCGGAGCGGCAGTGTCAGCCATGTACACAAAAGCCGAATCACATGTACCCTGGACGCTCTCATCGATAATCAGATTAGCTAAAAGGGACGCGGGCCTAAGTACTTCCCTGGGAAACACCACAGTTCGCACAACTCGGTCGTTCCTGAGATCGAAAACTACCAATTTGGGTGGACAAATTCTTTGAAAATCATCAATGGAAGTCATTATTCCAGAATCCAATACCTGGAAAGTCAAAGGCCACTTCAGTAACTAAGTTTAGTGGATGGTTAGCAGCCATTTCCAGTTTAAAAAGGGCTAACAGTTAAGCAAGAACATTAAAAAATTAAAGAAAAATTTGAAATCTTAAATCTTGAAATGAACAAAAGCAACCTACTCTCTCGACGATATACTCACCCATAATCGATTGCATGAATCCAGTCTCATCCGGTATACCGATATCAAACCGGAACACGCAGTAGAATTGTCACTCCCTAAACCAACAGTATGGTACGACCAATCGGGATATGGCTGCGGCCTTGGACTAGAACCGGGGGGTGAATTTCTGGGAATGGTCGAGAGCGTAGCTGGTATACCTGCGCGCAGTCTTGGGGTCGCTATAAATATCCTCGTGGGCGTAATTTCCAAACCGGTAAATACTGTATTTTCGGGTCTAAAAAAGTATTTAGTGGGTCATTTAGATTTTACGTTAATTTCTACTCTACCTAAAGTCTCTTGCTCCGTATCCGTATGGGGGTTGAAATTCCAACAGCGACCATTGGTTTACTACTTCGATATCCAAACTTACGCTGCCCAGTACGCATACGGATAGTAATAGGCCCGACTGGATGGTCCACATTTGGCTAAAATTAAAATTAGACTTGACTGATGACTAATATATTTATTTTTACACATATCTCTGTCTCAACCGTTTTATAATATATAATTTATAAGCTTATTGGCTTTTCGTTGACCCACAAATAATTAAAACTGAAATAAAATCTGCAAATTATAATTTTCATCGCTATACGGAAGAAAGTATCATCAAATTATCAGCGAATATGGAAGTTCTTCCAAATAAGGAACGTAAAATAATCTATTTAATACCTAAATATCAAAACCGTGCGACACAAATCGATGATTGTTAAAATTTAATTAAAATATCTCTTATTTGTATAGCAGTACTGTTTTTTTTTGTTCTTAGGGCAATTAATTTAAAGAGTCTTCCCGTCATTTTTCCTATTTAAACTTTCAACTCCATCGTATAAGACCGCGAAATGTAGGTTATTTTAAACGCAAAGAGATAATATTGACGCTTTTCTGCAACCAGTTTGAGAAGTAGGTCTGACGATATTAATTTTTAGATGGCCGAAGATATGTTGTCAAGCCTTCCCAGTATGGTTTTCCCCAGACCCCAACTGAGTCGAAGAGAATTTTGAATTAAAAGTTTATTTAAGTATTTAAATATTGGTTACTTTACCAATAAATTATTGATTTGAAATGTGCAAAAAATCTGCACCAATTGCACTCTACATCGAATAAGGAAATCTACAGATCATTGAAATTACACCCTCTAAGCTAAATGCATCACTATTGACATCTAAAAATGCTATAAACATACGATTTGTAGTTTTTTTTATTTCAACGAGTCGAAACTTTTGATATACGAGGTGTGTTCAATAAGTAAGATGACTGTTACTTGTGCCAACGTTTTCTCCAATCGCCGAAGCAATGGTAAGCACATTCTGGTACAGCCTTGAGTTCTTCCATCGATTTTTTCTTTATCTCCTCAATCGTTGTAAAAGTCCTAACTTTCATGGGTTTCTTGAGTTTTGGGAACAGGAAAAAGTCTCAGGGGCCCATATCCGGTGAATATGGTGGCTGAGGCATGATTGTGGTTTTGTTTTTGGCCAGAAAGTTAGACGTAACCAACGATGAGTAAGCTGGTACATTATCGTGATGTAAAATCCATGAATTGTTTTCCCACAACTCCGGATGTTTTCTTCGTATTGCTTCTCGCAAACGGCGCATAACTTCAAGGTAAGACTCCTTCTTGAACGTACGACCTTGTGGTAAGAACTTTTGATGTACTATGCCACGATAATCAAAGAAAACAGTAAGCAAAACATTTCATCAAACTTCACTTGCTTTTTTCGGTTTTGGCGATTCTGGGTTCTGGGACGACTGGGGTCATAACCATATACCCATGATTCGTCACTAGTTATGACTTCGTTTAACAGCTCTTGAGCGATGCTCCTTCGACGATCCTTTTGTTCAAAATTAAACATTTTCGGAACAAATTTTGCTGCTACACGTTTCATGCCCAAAACTTTTAATTTTCAATCATTTTATCTCTTTCTGAACGTAAACTTCATAGGAAAGACTGTCTTCAATTAATATCACATAAACCTACATTTTACAAAAGTCAAGATATTAATTAAGAGCAGAGCTGTTGAGGTTTGCGTTCAGAAAATTTGTGAAAGTTGAAAAATGTCAAATTATTGAAAAAAACTCTTCAAAAAAACTAATAATAAAGACATCAAAATCAAAAAATCCAATGTCCGAATAATTTTTCTCATCGTGGTTAATTTTGGTTTCTGTCTACCCGTTTTGAGTGTGCTGCCGTTTAGTTTACAAACTGAATCACTCAAAAGGCCCTAGCAAGAAATATTAACATTTACGTAATATTTGTCGTACAATATGTTGATATACCGAAATCAGTTCCTCTGACGTAATGACCCACGCGTAAATCTCCTTGAAAGCTTTGATTGTGTCGACCAGCTTTCTTTTTCGAATTCGGAGCGACTAAAACGAGATAAATAAACCGGTAGACGCATACCGTCCTTTAAACCTGCGGCAACACACGTAGTTATTTGTTAACTTTTAAGTTCATTACCAAAATAAAAAACACGGTTTATTTAGCGTGACCGACAAGCGGGCAAGCATTGCGAAACCTGTCTGTGCTACACTGAATTTAAATTATATACTGTGGTACGCGAGCTATTAAAATCGCTGAAACCCCGAAAGGGTTGATTAAAATCTGTAAAGCGTTTTGAAACGTAGCTACTTGAGTGTAAAATGCCAACATCTGTAGGAAGTTTCACCATCACTATTCCCTGAGAGTTCTTTCTCGCACATGAGAATAAGTTAAAAAGATTTATTAATTCGGCCAGAATTACTAGCTAGAACATCTCCAGTAATGATACTAGGGTACATCTATACATTTCTTAAATCGTTTGAGAACGAAAAACAATTTTTTGAGACACCGTTTACATCTACTAAAGGGAACATTTTCAGACAAACTAATATTCTATTTGCACGCTACCTCGGAAAGTGCTAAGCTCATCACACACCTGGGTGTATCATGTGTATGATGAGCTTAGCAGCAGGCTTAGCCAAAATGTTAGAAAAGCAATCAACACCAACCTTCAGATTTGGCCTTCCCTAACCCCTCGCCAAACACCCTATATATAGCAAACATCAACTCAAGCGTTGAATTCAATATGGATTCGCATTACGCACCATTTTTTATATGATGCAATTCCTTTTACACACTCCTTCGAGACAATAATTACAAGCACATAGATTAGACATCCCGTAATAAATATAGTCGTTTGTTGCTGTCACATGGCCTTGGACGGTACCAACGAATTAAATCGAAAAAGCCTTTGCTGAAATACCAATGATACCATTTTGTGGGAGCTGAACTCAACATTTTAGTGATTTTAATGAATGATAACGTAAATATAGAGACCGCACATTGTCAAAGTATTAAGGTCAAACGTCTCAGCTAGCAAATATACGCAGAACCCAGCCGTGAACGTAGAGCTGACCCCCAAAAAAAGAAAAAGTCCGATGACAAGATTTTTAAACCAATATATTTTGACGCAGGAATTTTATACCTCTGTCAAGGTTAATACTTACTTCAGTTCTAATTTAATGAGTTTTTGAATATTGATTTTTCGATATATATTAGAAAAATTGGATATATTCTCATATTTGTCAATGTTTGTTGATCAAGATTTAAGTCATTTCTATATAATTGAAAATATATCAATATACGGTGCATTATTACTATTTTATTTATTATACCGGCAAAGAAATTATCTGCTAAGATATTAAAAGTTCAATAGATTTTAATAATGTCGGTAAGTAACTTAGTAATACTATGATGAGAGTGAGACTCCTACAAACCAAATAAAATGGAACTTGTGCAAGACATGGACATGCGTTAAAATCATCTCCACATTTCATATTTCAGCGGCCTTGATACATTATCGATAAATCGTTATTTCAATAAACAAGCAATTAAGTATAATTGTTACAGAGGCCCGTATGACATAAAATAATGTTCGCGAAAGTGTTATAAATATTTATTGAGTGATTAATGCGGACATTTTAATAAATGCCTAGATATAACTATTCAAATCATACGATCTATGATAAACACCGCCACTTTTATGCTCGCGCTTTTAATTATTTCAGTAAAAAATTTCAGCACCTGTTTCTCACGATCATTTTGATCGGAAAGTTTGACATCGTTTCTCCTCAGTACAGAAAAATATTGTCTACTTTGGTACGAGGGAGGAATAGGCAATAGGTATCCCATTTTGAAGAAAAAATTATTAAAATCGATGAGTGGATGCAAAAATTTACGGGATATGATAATGAAAACCTTAACAATGTTAAGCATGTTAATTATAAAGTCAACTAGAACAAAATAAAATATGTAATAGAAAGTAACATTAAATAAAAACTAGATTATTCACGTTGGTAACATTGGTGTTGTCAAAATGCTATAATTTATTACCACGTTATTTATTGCCATAGGATAACCATAGTGCAAAAACAGCAACATCAATTTTTAACAAACGAGTTCTTTAGCGATATTGACATAAAATATGGAATAAGTTTCTTAATTGCTGGCCTTCAGTCCAAATGACAATGTGAACTATAGTACAATAGCAAACAAAGTATGCGTGTGCGATAATTTTAAATAAAATCTTGCTATATTAATATGTTGTTTAAATTCGACCATACAGTGTGTCCAAACTATGTGGGAAATCAAACTTATGTATTTTTTAATGGAAGACCCTATATATTATGACATTTATACTCAATCACCCAGTGTATGGTTGCTATTGTCTATACTGAGTGCTTTCAGATTTATAGCGATTTTTTCATCAAAAATGCCTTGTCGTCAATACACTTTATTTTTGAAGTTTCTGACAGCTGCAACTTTATTATGCCTGCAATTTTATAAAGTGGCGCAGTAGTAGTAGACTTGAAATTAGTTCGAATCGTTTATATATGGATAAGTCAAAAAGAAAAATATTAATTTTGTAATAATATTAATACAAAAGCTAATGCGGAAATTATCTATTAAAAGCGAGATTGAAACAAAAATAAAATTATGAACTGCGCAACTTTAGAACAACACTTTAAACGCTAGAGATAATAATATAAATTCAATATTGATATGCTAATAGTTCCAGAAAAAACACTTAAAAACTAAGAACAAAACTGAAGAACAAAAAAGGGCTGTTTAATTAGGTTTTACTTTATTCGTTGCTAGAAATGCCTCCAACTGTTTCAATGATTTGGCAGTTTCCGCTGTCATTTTGAGAGCCTTCTCGTTTCGTATCCTTTTTTGTTGTGCGGCCAATTTTATACACCTGGTCTTTAATATATCCCCACAGAAAATAGTCCATCTTGGCTAGATCAGGTGGCCATCTAATCGTACCACCTCATTGAACCCACCGTTGAGTAAATAAAATATTTAAGTGGTTCGTAACTTGATGGACATGGTATGCAAGAACTTTATCATGAAGGAATTTCCTATGCAATAGTTCTTAATATATTT